ATGCAGAGAGACTTGGAAGTACAGGAGTTAAGAAAGATTTAAAAGGGTAAAGATGAGCAAACAATTATAAGGGACTAAACCACACCTACTCAACATTCGCAGCCCACCAAAGGATTTCAGGTGGCCTGCCAAAAATGTAGGGTTGCTATTGCGCACTCGCTCCCATGTGTCACGTGATCCACAGCAACCAATCATTGTCAGTCCGTCTCTAGTCTAACCTATCTGCAACCCAAAGAAGTTGAGTCTATTTTAATTGTGGCCCCTACCTACTGCCAAGTTGTGCAAGTCTGGACTAAACAAAGATAAACTGTTTATATTCTAATATGAGGAGAGGATACATGTATCCTCTCAAAACCCTATCATCCAAGGACATAGAGGGAGTCTGATTAAAGACAGGGCTTGAAAATGGTTTTATTTCATGCTTTGATGATCTTAACAGATAAATGGAAAAGAAGGGGGAGATAATGGAAAGAAAGAATGTGGAAAATTATCACATACTTAGGGTAAGCAAATAGGAGTCTATAAAAAAAGGAGGAAAGGGCATGAAGAATGGGTGACACTTGAACCTCATTCTCATCTAAGCTAGTCACAAAAGGGAAGAATATACACATACATAACTGGGTACAGAAATACATTTCACAATAGAGAGATGTGAGAGGGGGAATAAGAGGAAGAGTAGATTAAAAGAGGGATTAGTCCTATGCAAAATAAACTCTAAGAATGTACAAAACTACAAAACTATAGCAGCTGTTTTTGTGACGCTAAACTGAGTATGTGCTCATCAACTGGAGAATGGCTGAACAATTATGACACACGAATGACAGAATACTATTATGTTGTAAGAAATGATAAATAGGATGGTATCAGAGAAACCTGAAAACACTTGTATGAACTGATACAGAGTGATGTGAGTAAAATCAGAAGAACATTTTATATAAAACAGAAATATTGTAAAGGCAACTTTGAAAGACTTGAGAATTCTGATGAATGCAGTGACCAACCATGATTCTAAAAGACTCCTGACGGAACATGCTACCTTCACCTTCTGATAGAGGGATGATGGACTTAAGTGTGCAGATTGAGACTTTTTTTTTGGACATATCATACACATATCATATATGTAATGTACTGAATAAATATAAAGTAGGAAGGGAGAGAACTAGCAGCTGGCAAAATGAGGCAAGGCCTTTTGAAAGAGTGAGGTGGTATAGGAGCTAAACTCTGCATGGAGCTAGGCACATTCTAAGAGTCAACAGTAAGAAGTGAGACAGCATTCCAGGCATGGGGGGAGGTGAAGGAAGCCTATGCAAAAGCACAGAGGTGATAGATAATGACTATCATACAAAAACAAAAGACATCAACAAAACTTTTTTAAAAAATCAAAAACTAAAAACCATGACTCCCAGAAATGGACACAGCACTCCAGTGATATGACCAAGGCAGGGTTCAATGGGACTATCACACTTGTTGACATCATACATTAATGCAGTCAAGATCACATTACCTCTTTTGGCTGCTACATCATAGTGCTGACTCCCATTAAGCTTGCCATCCACTGGAACCTCCAGGTCTTTATCACTTGCACGGCCATCTAGACATACCAATTCCATTTTATACTTCGTATAATTGATTTTTAAACTCAAATTTGGGATTTCACATTCATCCCTATGAAATTTTACCTTGTTAGCTCTGACCCAGAAGCTTTTGCCTGTCAACATCTTTTAGAATCCTGATTGTGCTATCTGTTTCATCTCTTCCTTCTGGCCTCACATCATTCTTGAATCATGACTACACTGATAAAAATGTGGAACAGAAAATAGCACTACTGCCATAAAGACAGACCCCTGGAGCCCCGTAGTAGAGATCTACCCCCAGTCTGAAAGCAATTCACTGATCAACACTCTTTGAGTCTAGTCACTCAGCCAGTTCTGAATCCACAACGTATTTCTTTTGTTCAATAGTGGTAAATACCCCAGGAGGACAAGGGGGTATATCTGACTAGAACCCAGAGTGAGAGGGAGGGTACAGAAGGAATTAAAACTGCTGCTATTTGCCAGAAAAAGATCAACATACTCATCTTGGGTCATAAGATACGGAGCTGGAAAAAACTTTAGAGATTATCCAGTTCAACCCCCTTATTTTAAATATGAGTAAACCGAGGCCCAGAGAAGTTGTATGATTTGCCCAAGGTCCCATGGGAGTAATCAGCAGAGCCAGAATCTAAGCCTGGGTCCTTTAACTCTAAGCCCAGTATATTTTTCGCTGTATCATACCACCTTGCTAGAATTCTAGATCATTGTGATTTCTCTACTCAAATTAAGATTGCTAGACTCAAGTGGAAACCTGAGTTTGGGCTCATCTCTGTTCAGTCGCCCTCCAGCCCTGTTCTTAGGTAGGCTGGAGTTAGAGCACCTCTAGCTGTAAGTTATGAAGATAGCTTCCTTTGCAGTGCTGATTGACACCTCCCAAGTTTTGAGAGCTGGAAGTTCTTGCACAGGCAGGGGGCAGAACTGTCATGGGTGCCAACTAAGCCAGATCAAGAAACTGTGGAGGGGAAAGGCTCTAGCCAAAAAGGGGCATTCAAGGTGAAGGCAGGGTGAGGATAGGAATCACAGCCATGGGCCTGGGTTACAGGGCAGTAAAGGACATATTGCAGAGCTTGACGAAAGATCTTCTCAGTATGTCGCATGAAAATGTTCTGCAAGCAGCTACATGCATGCTTCACCACCTTTCTCTGAAGCCCCTTCAGACCAAGGGCTCCAGTGTTCATATTCCCTCAGGATAATTGCTGACTGTTAAGTGTGGAAGACAATATCTTCAAAGCCATCTAAGTATAAAGGCCCTGCCCCGCAGTTTCTAAAGCTTAGACCAGAGTAGTTCTCACCCCTCTTTGACAGAAGGTCAACAGTCCAGCTTAGTCTCCCAGATCCCAGCCACTAATCAGATTGTGGATGCCTAACAAACCACAACTTAGATTTTTAAAAGGCATATACAAAGGATGGCAGATAACAGAGATGAAGACAAAAGCATGGATCTGTAAGAAGAATGTCAGAATGAGCTATGGCTGACAGGAAAGTTAAGCATGACAAAAAGTGCCTCCATAAGCTATGTTTTTGTTGGGGAAAACGGGAGGATCAAAGAAAGTTCAGACTGGCTCCTTGGGTAGAAGGAGTAATGATATATACAACAGACAGAAGGTAGATCTGTTTAACATTTACTTTGTTTTTCTTCTTTGCCAATCTTTGGATTGGAAAGTACCAAATACAAATGGCTAACAGGGAATCAAAACCCAAGATAAGTAAGGAGGCAGGAAGAGTACACGTCACCCAGCCAGATGAATGACATTTCTGAGTCATTATTAAACCAGAAGAATTGGCAACCATGGTGGTTGAGCCAATGTGGAAAGATCATGGAGAAAAAGAGAATTCACAGGACCAGAGAAGGGCAAATATTGTCCTCAAAAAGTGAAAAGAGTGGAGTCTGGAAACTATAGGCCAGTGAGCTTGAGTTTGATGCTTTGTAAAGTTCTAGAATTAAAGAGATGGTTAGGGAATATCTAGGAAAGGGAGTGATGATCATAAAAGCCAACATGGCTTCATCAAAAACAAGTTATACTGGGGCAGGTAGGTGGTGCAGTGGCGAGAGCACTGGCCCTAGAGTCAGGACCAGAGTTCAAATCTGGCCTCAGACACATAACACTCACTAGCCGTGGGACTCTGGGCAAGTCACTTAACTCCAATTGCCTCACAAAAAAAAAACAAGTTATACCAAACTACTACTGCGCAGCCATTGGCCCATCCCCTCATTACACTTATTTCCTTTTTTCGAACAGGATTTCTAGGCTGGGGGATCAAAAGAATGCAGTAGATATAATTTTCCTAGATTTTAGCAGTGTTTAAGAAAGTGTTTCATGCTATTGTTGTAAAAGCAAATGAAGACATATGGGCTAGATGGTCTAATGGCTAGACCCAAAAAGTCATCTTTAATGGTTTAATATTAACCCGGGAGATTGTCTTCTTCGGCATGCCCCAGGGAACTGTGCTGGTTACCATTTTTGTCAATGACTTGGGATAAAGGTTTAGATGGTGGACCTCTCAAATATGCAGATGATACAGACAAGAGGGCCAGATAACTCACAGGGTGACAGGATTCAGAAAGATGTGAATTATGAGAACTTTAAGCCTACCATAGGATGACATTTAATAAGGATAAAGGTAAAGTCTCACACTTGGGGTCATGCAATCCTAGACTCAATAGTATTGAGAGAAGCACAAGGCCCAGGATTAGGAAGATGTTTTCTGCTGTGTTCTCCCTGGGGAAGACCACATCCAGGATATTGTGTCTACTTCTAGATGTCACATTCTAGAAAGAACATTGATCAATGGAAAGTGGCCGAAGGAGGGCAGTCAGAATGGTGAAGGGTTGTTAAGTTCATGCCAGTTAAGGATCCATTAAAACAGCTAGGATGTTTAGCCTAGAGAAGAGTTCAAGGAGACAAAACAACTGTCTTTTAAGTTCTAAAGGCCTGTCACATGGAAGAGAGAGAGCTTATTCTGCTTAGCCCCAAGGAATAGGACCAGAAGGAATAGAGATAGATAGAAGTTGCAGAGGCCATTTAGACTTGATATAAGAAAAAAATTTCTAACAATTAGAGCTTTCTCAAAGTGGAATGGACTGGCCATGGAGGAAGTGGGTTCTCCCTAACTAGAGGTAACTGGGCAAAACCTGGATGACCACTCATGAGTTGTGTTGTAGATGAGATCCTTGTTCAAGCACCATTTGGACTAGATGGTCTCTGAGGTTCCTTTCAACTCTTGAGATTCTGTAATTCCATTTGCCCCTAATAAGCAAAACAAAGGGTAAAAGCCAAGGGAAATAGCTAAGAAACAGAATTGTCCTGGTAGGCAGAGATGTGCATGCTACATTTTTAGAGTTCAGAACCCAGGGTCAAATCCCTGCTCCGATCAATGGAGCTTCCCACCTTTCTACTGGACACTCACTAATTTCGGGCAATCTCCAGGTCCTTCCGATGGCTTTGCAATGCAGCTGCCATGTGCCCCATTTCAATCTGTGCATTCCCAATGCAACTGTATAAATTGCCAAGCAGCTCATCTTTGTTGGGCACTTCTTCCTTGTCCCACTCCATCACCTTCTTCAGCACTTTCTCAGCTTTCTGGCAGCTCCCCTCAGCACTGCCACTAGTAAGTACTGGGAAGGAAAGAGGCCAGGGTACAAGGTCAAGTACATCCCCATGCAGCCAGGCAGCTGGTCCGGGGAAGAAGGTCTAGGGGTTCATGCTGCTATTAACCGATTCCTCCTCATGTAGAAATGGGTTAAATTATACAGATTGCCTCTCTGGGCCTCTGGCCCCAGACCTTTTGTCGGGCCCCTGTTCCCCACCTCCCTTATATCACAAACAACTGAGGAGGGAGGAGAGAATCTGATCCTGCCCCACACCTGTGTACCAGGGCCACTTACACATGTCAATTTCCTCCAGGCTCTTGAGAATATAGCGGGCAGTCTCAGAGGGGCGGCGCTTCCGATCTCGCACCCACTTCTCTTGCATAAGCTTCCGATCCCGCTCCCGAGCATAGATTGGCTTCTGCTGCCTCCAGAAGTCAGTCCGGGTATCTAGGTAATTGATGCCAGTCATGATCAAATCTTCCACAGTCATTCCATGCTTGATAGTACCTTTGATCAGGTCTTTGGGAATGAGAAGAGGAGGAAGGGAAGAGCCAGAAAAACAGGAGTCAGCGGGAGTCAGTGGGAGCAGGGCTAATAAAAGGAGAGCTCTTGGTCAGAGACCCATACTTTGGGGTTCTCCCTGTGCCAGACTCGTGGAAAATCTGAATGGAGGGAAACCATTCCAGCCAAGAGCTAGGCCAAAATGGACCTCCAGCATTTAAAGAGAGATTATACATCTTTCCTCCAGTCACCACTAGAGTAGAGAAACCTCCTATTTTGATACTTGAGGGTATGGGGGGAAATAAAAGGAGTATACTACTGCATTATACACAATAGGTATTTAATCAATTGAAAGAGAAGCCCAGGAAGCCTCCTTTCCTGGCTGTCAGTACTGCAGAGGCTCCTTTTATAGTCAGCAGGGTCCAAAGCCATGGCTCCAGAAGTTGTACCTTGAACAGCTGCTTCTTTTTCTGTCCTTGGAGCTTTGGGTAAAGTTGGGAGAGGGGAAAAAACAGGGACACTGGATCTGAGATCCCAGCTTGGCCTCAGCTCCAAATGGAACAGTGCATGCTGGAAACTGGCCCAGAATTGTAAGTCCAAGCTAAGAGTAAGGCCCTGGGGGAACTGAATCAGGCTACAAGCCCTGTCTGGCCATCCTACCCCTCACAGAGTCAGCATTACAGGCATATATATTCTGGGAGGCAAAAGTCAGCCCTCTAATCAAGAAGACACATCTGTGCCCCTGAGAGGCAGGTGACCCTGGGGGAATCTTACTATATCATCAGAAAGCCAATTCTAAAGAAAAGGCATTTAATCAGATTATCCAAATTTCAGTAGCCAAATTATCTAATGACAGTAATCATCCCTGGGCTTATGTCTGAGCATTTCTATCATGGCACTTTCATTTTCTATCTCATTTTTCTTCTCCTCCCAGCACCATTAGCCCAGACTGTTCTCTTCACTGTGCAGACAGAGAATTTGAGGCCATAGAAAGCAGTGGGAGTGGCCCAATTCTTCTGACTCTGGTTTTTAAGTTCTTTTCTGTCTTCAGTAGCCCCACATTCATAGAGGGACATCTACCCCACATCCTGAATCTTGATAACTGCAATCAACAAGACCTTCATCCTTAAGAAGCTTTTCCAGATATTCCTTGTCCACATAAAGCTCTCCTAGCAGCTGTCGAACAGTCTTCTGGCTCTTCAGTGAGTTCTTCCGTTTACTTTCTGCCTTGGTGTCCTTCCAGAGTTGCCTGAGGGGAGTCTTCTGTTGGGCTTTCATACTCTCGGAGTACAGAGTAAGACAAAGAAGAGCCTCATCAGGAAGCAGAAAAACCCCCAGGCCTTGGCTTCCCATAACACCTGGGCTTCTCCTCCTCCTCCTCTGTGATCTCCCTGTAGGCCTAAAAACCATAGCCCAAGGCAGAGAGCAAGACTGATGCTTATTCAAGAATAGGGCTGGGAGGGGCAGCTAGGTGGTGCAGTAGATACAGCACTAGCCCTGAAGTCAGGAGTACCTGAGTTCAAATCCAGCCTCAGACACATAACACTAGCTGTGTGACCCTGGGCAAGTCACTTAACCCCATTGCCTAGCCAAAACAAAAAAAAAAAACAAAAAAACCAAAAAGAAGAATAGGGCTGGGAAATGGCCAGACTCCCAAGATTCCTCTTACACATGGGACTGTGGAAGCATCTAAGCATGCAGCCATGACGAGAGAGAACTGAACACTTCTAACCATGTGGGCACAATACCAGGGCCCTTACCTCTGCCTGTTTGCTTAAGAAGAAGAGGTCCCCTTTGTTCTCCAACTTCACTGAGGAAGGACCTGAAAGAACAGAAGCAGGCTCACAGGTTAGCCAGGCCTCTGACCATGACCTATGTATGACACACTGTTAACAGCATAGTCCAGGTTGACTTTGGCAGAGGAAGGCTGGGAGCTGTGGTTAGGCTGATCCAAGGCGATCTGGGAAGCAGGAATGTTGGCTGTATGATTCACTCCAGTTCCTCCATAAGCCTGGCAGCCTATTCTTGCCCAGGGCCATGGCAGTTTTATTTCCAAATAAGGGGGTGGGAGCCAATGGTACAGAGCAGTTGTCTAAGCCCTGTGCCATTTCTATACTCTGCCTCCTACAGAAACTAAAGACACAAAACTCCCACACTCCTGCTGCCTCTGGGTAATAAGTAGACCACAGGGCCGGACCAGCAACTCAGGAACATATTTCCTGTGGAAAGCAGCTAGAGACTGAAAAGATCCGTCTCTAGGGGCTAAAGCTTTGTCTGAGACAGGTCTAACTCCATTCCATCCCTTTAGCAGCTTCCCAGATATAAACCAGTTTGGGGAGCCTTTGCAATTGCAGTTGTCTCTGAAGAAAAAAAAAATCAAAGACTGCGCTACTCAGCCGGAAGGCTCAGAGACTGGAGCCCCTTGTGTGGGTGGTTCAATCACACAGCAATTCAGAAGTTACCAAATCTGCTGCCTGCTTCAGAATTGCCAGTGGGTTTAATGGGGTCATTCACCTCTTTGGGCCTGGCCCTTCTCCAGCACCAGAAGTTCATGGGGGCAGGAGGGAATGGGAGCCTATTCAGTTCCCAAGATACTCCTTAGATAGTTTCCACTTACTTCCTACTGAGTTGTTAATGGCTTCCTGAGCTTTCTGAATCCCGACTTTGAATTCCCGCTCAGGCCGCAGCTTGTAGCCTCTGTGATAATACACCAAAGCAAACTCGAAATCTCCCATAGTATACAGGGTTTCTGCCTTTTGGAAAATTCCCTGGAACAAAAGAAGGTCAAACCAAGATGGTAGGGGTAACAGGACAAGGCATAGGTGGGTTTTGGGTTGAGGGTCACGATTTGGGTATAGAGGTAAAGGGACAGAACAGGTTACTTGAGAAGAGAAGGAAATAGGGTCAGACACCAGGCCCTGCATAAACAATGACACCCATGAATTCCCAGCTAGAAATCAGTCCCATCAGAGGGTTACCTTGCAGAAAGTCTGGTCATTTTTGAGAGATTCCTCAACATCTTTCAGGGAATTCTCCAAATCTCCTAACTTCAGATAACACCTAGACCGAGCAACCAGGCAGTTTCGGTCACCCTCCTGAAGGCGAAGAGCCTAGAAAAAGCAGCACAGTCAGTTGGGATCATCCAGGGTAAGGAAGAAGCTATGCTGGTAGGGAGGCCAAGGCTCTCCCTGCAAAAATATTATTAGACTGAGTCTAAGCAGGGATGCTCTGACCCTAAAAGCACTGGAAAAATAGCAAGGAACTTCATCAGAGACAAAGAGGGGCCTTTGAGTCTTATCAGCCAAACACCCAGGGCTGATCTTTGAACAGGAAATTCTTGATTATCTCCACATAGATTATTTCACTGAATTTGGAGTTATGGACCAGCAGTTGAATCTACATACTGATTTAAACTTCATTAATATAATACCATCCTATGAGATTCTCTCACTGCTTTTTTATCCACTCAGATGTGCTCCAGCGCCATATCTCCCTACTTTCCAGCTGGTGTGTATATTTAGAAAAGAGACTCATGCTAATTTTCTCCTAGATCAATCAGAACCAAGAAGTTAACTGGCTATTTTTTAAAATGACAGAATAAATTCCAAAAGAGAATTTCACGCAAAATGCTATTTGGATTTGCCATATCATATCCATTTAAATAGACATTTGAGAATTCACTGTACATTTCAGAGGTCTATTAAAAGAAGGCCTTTGAGAATGAAGTTATTTTTTACAGATGTAGTTATAAAAAACGTCACATACACACATACCCCTCTTACCACTTCCTCTGCCTCTCTACCAGTGTCTTTTCTTCCTTAGTGGTACCATGACCAAAAACTACAGCATGTTTTTTGTTGGCCTTTAACATCTCTCCTTAAAGCATTTCTAAGAAGTAGAAAAGACAGCTGTATGTCTCAGAAAGATGCCATTCCTACCCAGAGGCCACCTCCCCTTTGAGTATCCTTTATGCTCTGCTGGAATTCATGGGTCTTGGATGCCATTTTCACCCAAACTAGTTTCTCCCTGGCTACAAGTATGGTGTGTGCCTGGGAGGTACAAGAAAGGATTTGGGTGTCAATGATTATTTGATTTAGAGTAGCTCTTTGGTGAACTGGAAGGGTTAAGAATGCATTTATTTTTGTTGATGTTTGGTCATATCTGACTTGGTTTGCCATTTTCTTCTCCAACTCATTTTACAGATGAGGAAACTGAAGTAAAAAGGGTTAAGTGACTTGCCCAGGGTCACACAGATAGTGTGTGTATGAGGCAGGATTTGAACTCATGTCTACTTGACTCCAGGCTGGGCGATTTTTCCACTGTGCCACCTCACTGCCCCTAAGAATGTATTCTTTGTAGGAAATGATATCTTAAAAATACATCTAATCCCATGCTTCCTGTGTCCACTGGAGAACCAGTCCATGAAGGGAGGGGGCAATTTATGCTAAAGCTACTTTTGAACAGCAATGGGAAGGAGGTTCTGAAGAATCTACTGGACAGTTAAGAGGAACTGATGATTAACTTAGGGAAGAGGTTACAGGTGTTTTGCTGTTGTTCAGTCATTTCAGTTGTATCTAATTCATTGTGACCCCATTTGGGGCTTTCCTGGAAAAGATACTAGAGTGGTTTATCATTTCCTTCTCCAGCTATTTGACAGACGAGGAAACTGAGGCAGAGTTAAGTGACTTGCCCAGGGCCACACAGCTGGTAAGTGTCTGAGGCCATATTTGAACTCAGGAAGATGAATCTTCCTGACTTCAGGCCCAGAACTCTACAATTCAACAAAATGCTTACCAAGTATTAAGCACATACTAAGTCTAAAGTGGGCAGCTAGGTGGTAAAATGGACTAGAGTCAGGAAGACCCAAGTTCAAATTTGGCCTCAGACAGCTACTAGCTGTGTGACCCTGGGCAAATCACTTAACCCTGTTTGCTTCTGTTTCCTTGTCTGTAAAATGAGCTGGAGAAGGAAATGACAAACCATTCCAGCATCTTTGCCAAGAAAACCCTAAATGGAGTCAAGAAAATTGGACAAGACTAAACAAGAAGAAGTCTAAAGTAGTATGCCTCGGGGCAGGTAGGTGGCGCCTTGGATAGGGCACCTGCCCTGGATTCAGGAGGACCTGAGTTCAAATCCGGCCTCAGACACATAACACTTACTAGCTGTGTGACCCTGAGCAAGTCACTTAACCCCACTGCCTAGCAATTAACAAACAAACAAACAAATAAATAGTGTGCCTGGGATACAAAGACCAAACAAACCAACCCAGTTTCCTGCCCTCAAGGAATTCACATTCTAAAAGGTGAAATTACAAGTAGATTCATAAGTAAATAAGTGTAACAGCACATAACCATCTGGGAAGGCTTCAGGAAGAAGGTGGCGCTGAAGCTGGGCCTGTAAGTATTCAGAGAGTATCTATTAAGTATTAAGTATTCTACCTCATGTGCAGAGATTATTGGGAATTGATGAAGTTAACAGCAATTTCTCAAGGAGAGGGCGAAAGGAAAATGACTGGGGTAAATTAATCTAGGGCTGTAATGGGTTTGGACTGAGGGGGATGATGAACGATCAATCGAGGGAACGAGGTATCTCTACCAGCATGGATTGGGGATTATCAGAGACAATTTAACAGAAACGGATCCATGTGAAGCTGGGTGTATCGGTAATCGATTAAAAACCCTGCTGTCGACAAAGGTTGATCAGCGATCAATCGCTAGGTCTGGAGCGGGGACTCACTTTGGTGAAGCTCAGAGCCGCCTTTTGATATTCCCCGCATAAGTACAGCCGCTCTCCCTCCGCCATGTAAGAGGGGAAGGTGCTCCGGAGATCCTCCAGCTCGAAGTCCGACATGACAGCCCGCTTTCAGGACCAAGCACTCTGTGGGAAAGGAAGAATGGAGAGTGCAGGAACCTTTAGGGAACCAGCCAGCTTGTGTAACATCCATCTCCTAGCAACCGAGGGGCATGACGTCACTTCCGATTCCGCCCTTCCTCCCTCCCTCTCTCCGGTCGGTCTCCTGAGTGGTGCGCATGCAAGGAGCTGGAGCTGCCGCGCTCTTCGCAAGAGATGTGCGTGAGGGAGGTGTGCTGCGTGCGTGCTTTCCGCGTTCTCCTCTCCTGCGCTCCTGGGCGTGTTCGCTGAGAGGCGCAAACGTAGGGAGCTTTTGCCCTTCTGTTCTGCCAGCTTGGGATTTATTCATCTACCTCCCAGTTGACACACCCGAAAAGAAAAAGCCCCCGGTCATCCCGGAGGTTACATTCTTCTAGGGGTGGGGAAAGGTTTTCCATATGTACATAGATATAAATGAATGAATGAATGGAGCATTTAATTTGCAAAGTACTTTGCTGGCTACTGAGAACACAAATAGAAAAAACAAACAAACCCTGCCTTTTCCTTAAGGGATCATATTCTAATGGGGGTGGTGGAGAAAGCCCCAACTATAGGGGATTAGGGAGGGTTTCCTGAAGGAGGTGTTGCCTGATCTAAGCCTTGAAGAAAGATAAACCTAGGAAGGCGAGCATTCATTCCAGCCATAGGGTCAACATGTTTGAGCAAATTCAGGAAACCCCTGGATGGAATGTCATGTTCAAGAAATGCAGTTGGTAGGGAGTATCATAGGATCATAGATTTAAAGATGGAAGTGTTGAGGTTCAGGGAACCGTATGTTGAGGTTTAGAGGTTCTGGGACCCCAACATAGTAACACGGGTCTTGCCCAAATGAATTCAACCCAAGACTTCTTTCAGCCAAAGACAGGGTTTATTAAAGATCAGCCATATTGGCCAGACTTAAGGAGTTTCTAGAAAATATGGCAACTCAAAAAGACAAGTTGAAGGGACCCCTTAACAACCCTTAACATCCCCTCCATCTCCCCCTGTCCCACCCCTGTTGGTCAAAGGTGACTTCTGATATGCTGATGAGCACAGAGAGTGCACTGGGTAAAATAGTACTGTGGACACCAGGGGGCAGCCACAAGTACAGAATAGGACCAGAACCATTAACCAAGCACAGTACAAGCCGTAGTAAGAATGGCCAAAATCAGGGCCTAATTCCAAGGGGAAAATCAAACAATATCAAGATAATCAAGAGAATGTAGCATACAGATACAGAAAATGAAAGGCAAAGGGGTACAATAATGGACAGCAATAACAACGGCCATTAAGTCTCTCTGCAGCTCGGTACTCCTGCCCAAAATACATTCAAATCAACACCATTCCTCCTGGATCTCAAATATCCCATGCAGTTGTCAGGTCCTTGGCACGCCTTTCTTGGAGGCAGTCTGGAAAATACCATATCCTCAAGGGCACCCCTCCACTGGATTTTTCCATTCTGTCTCCAGGTTACTTGCAGAGGCTGCTCATTTGTTCCTACTAAAACCCCTGACAAAACAGATTTCGATACAAGTTGGCGCAGACTCTTAAAATTTGCTTCAACAACTAGTTCATTCGTAAAAATCAATGCAAACCTCATAGTTCTAATCTAATCAATAACAGGGTTGAAAGGGGGAACACCAAAGTAGGAACCCAGAGTTTACCTGAAACTTCAGGGAATTTAAGTTACAAATACCCTATGCCATTTCTATCTTACTCTAAACTCCATACCCCCCCCCACCGGTATTCATGTGATCTTGTTAGCTCCTCAAAACTTTTACTCAAACCTTTTTTTTAACTTCACAGTATTTACCAATTAACTGTTAATTATTTTATGTTGCCAGCAATCAAGCAGTGCACCAAATGGGAGAGGGAGAAATAAAGAAAGACGTGGGCCAGTCAGGTCAGTGAAGAACTGAGCCAATTTATTCATCTGAGGGTACAGCATATATAGAAAAAACTAACCTAACTTTAAAGAGTCCTCCCTATAAGACACTCCTCAAACATCTGCTGTATACATGACAACACATATTTCCTAGTTATCAGGGTTCACAGATTGAACACTATACTCCAAGGTCTTCCCTGGTGCCCTGGTACCACCTGCATAAAGGAGTGGTGTATAAATCTAAAGATTCAAAGAGTGAGAAAGGAATGTCTCGGGAACCTCCCTTGCAGGGGAGATTTGGAGAGCCCACTTCCTAAGTGATTGAGCCCTGTGGGTTAAGACTGGTCAAGAGTCAAGCTCTGTCCTGGATCTTAAACCCAGATCGGACTTTTTAGACCTCCAGATTTAAATGCCATTCAATTTAAATTAATTCCGATTCAATTTAATTATCTAATATTCCCCTTTTAGGAGGAGCAGAGACAGACAAGGATTTCAACCCTCACATAAAAACATAAGGTATAGAACATGTTTTACAAAAAGATGACCCATGATACACAAATGAAGTCACATAAAAGTCACCAAGTTAACTTCAATTACAGCAAAAGATTTTTGATGACACTCAAATAATCAAGTTCAAAACAATGCCTATGAAATAAGTTGTTTATAAGATAACACATTTGCACCACAGGACATGCAGTACAAACAAATGTTATTTCCACATTAGTAATAAGCTTGAATACAATTGACTTTTCCATTGATGTAATACAAAATATTCCATAAGTTACATCCCTCTAAGTAAACTGGTTGCACTAAAATTCTCTTCTCCAAATCAAAGTAAAGAAGTTTCTAATTTAGTTTTAACAGTTAATAGAATAGCTAGGTCTCACAAACAGTTGTATCAATACCCAATTATTCTTACATTGTTTTGAAACATTTAAGGACCTTATTTCATCCAGACAAATATATCTAGTAACAGGCAGATGACTAGGCCAAATAGTCATTTGCAACTTTGTTGAGGATATAGAAAGAACTATAATTCTAGGCTGAATAGCTCTGATCTTACACACTTGCATTTTATTATAGTAGCTTATATGTATCCCAGCCTTAGTCCATGGAATGATGATATAATACCATGTCTGAATCTGTTTCACAAGCTTTGTTTTTTTTTTATCTTTGCTTAATTATTCCCATATTATTCAGAAAGGGTGAGTCATTTCAGGGATTTGATCTTATGCATGACTATTCAGGCAGGCAGATGACAAGCCCAAGTACTAATTTACCTAGTTGTTTGGGATATGGAATGACTACATATTCAAACTGAAGATATTTGCATTGTGCCCATGTCTTCTATTGACCACTTGCTCAGAGTATAGGAATTTTCTATAAAAGGAAAAAGAAGGAATATGATGATAATGGCACCAAACTGGTCCTTGATGACTTAACACATATACGGCAGGATAAAGCATCCTTAGCTCTGTTTGACTTCAGATAAGAGTCACAGTTGACAACCAACCATGCAGTAACAATTCCACCTCATAGACAAACTCAGGAATAGCCAGGTGGGAAATATTTCTGTTAAAAGGAGCACAATGGGGAAACTAAGCCAGAAGGATCCTACTTTAGGCCAGGCCAATGTCATCCTCTAGGTTTTCTCCTAGATATAGACCTCCACCTATAACAGTTCAGGATCACATTTCCTCTGAGTATCTTGTGGCATTTCTCTTGAATGGTGGATTACTGACTTAATAATCCATCAGATAATTATACCTGAATTCAAATCTCAAAACAAAATCAGTTATGGTCCTGAGAGCTTTTACCTCAAATGGCAAGTTTCACCAATCACAGCTTAGGGTTGGATATAGTTATTTTTCCTCTCATGAAGTTGCAATGAGCAATAAAAGTTTACCAGTACTTAAACATATATAAGAGATTTCACTTAACATTCTTCACATTTTTTTTTGTTCTCCAGCATAAATTTGTCCTGGTAGTAAAGACCAGTCATCAGAAATCATTTCTATATTATATATAAACTTGCAAATTCTCAGCAAGCCAAGTTCATTGTTTAGGAACTCCATAACCCAAACTAGCTCATTTCCCAGGGCTGATGACCTTGCCTACAGAGATGGTTTCCAGGAACCTGGCAAGTTTATGAAAAAAGGGGAATTGACAGAGACCCCAGAGGAAAGGCTGAGCCTGCTGCCCCTACCTGCCCATACCATCTACCCTTAGAGCTGCTGTGAGCTGTGCTCTTTGACACCCCCCCTCCACATGCAAGGGGGAATAAACTAACCCTGCTGCATACTCTCATACCCCAAGGTGGATTGCTCTAAATAAGCAAAACCACTCTAGATAAGGTTTTCACCTCATCTTTTCCTTTACACATGCAGTAATCAATTACTGATTTTATATTTCAACATTATGACAATAACCCCGAAATAACTTAGTTAAAACTCTTACACTTTCATAAGTGATAGCCAAATAGTTGTAGATGTAACTTCCTCTTAACTACAGACAAAGGTGGAAATAGCCAGTTCCCTAAATGGCAGTTACAAAATACTATAAAACAGGGTTGGCAGGGCTGATAAAATAACATAATTGGTTTTACATAATTTTTCCTCTGTCTTTTACTTTCTTTCAATTCATATTCTAATAACATCCAAGTTATAAAAAGTTGCTCAACATAACTGATACAAAAGTTTACCAATTTGCACAATATAAAACATTTAGAAACATAGCAAACCAGAAACAATATATGTATTTGAAACTCCAAACAAACCCATTACTGATCCAGTCCAGTTAAATGCATTTCCAAATTAACTTACACAGAAAATCAGGCACCCCATCACTATTGGCATTGTATACTGACCATATCTAAAACCCCATATAAAGTTATCAAATATGAAGCAATTACACCTAATTAACGAACTAATAATAACAGTTAAAAATTGTAGCTCATAGCAGGAATGGTGTTAGGCACTTTACAGTCATGTAAAGGTAAACTCAGGTAAATAGATGTGAGGTAACTTATGTAAGGTCACCCAGTTAACAAATTTCAGATCCATGCATTTTCCCAATTTGTCTTAATGTCAAATAGTATAATTAATTCTGACTTATCTTAAACATCCAATTAGGAGAGACACATTTCACTTAAAATGTGACCAGAATGAATTGAATTACACCTGGATGTATGTTCCAGATGGTATTACACAGAATCTTGGGTTATGGTTTTAATACTATAGTATTATATGTTACATAAATGCTATTTATTCCAAACATTTCATATTATAGGGTCTACTATTTCCAACCAATCCACTGCCAAAGATTGTAAAACGGTCAATCTGATATTAAGATTTAATCTACCCCAATGATCACACTTAGGAGCATATTTTAATTTAGTTCAAATCTGGGTTCCACAACCACAGAAGGAACCCATAGCTTAACAATTTACTCATAGCTCTTTATGATATCTTCCTATATACTTCCAAATCAAGCAGCAATTTTTATTACTATGGTCCCCACCAAAATAAACATGTGACATCTCACACAACCTTCCCTCTTAAACAAAGCCAAACCTTTCTCAATCCTTTCTGTCAACATACTTAAACTCTTTCATAAAAAAGACCCACACCTTCCTAATTATCTTCACATTCTTCCTTTATGCCATCCATTACTTTGTTCACCTCTTAAATTCTCCTTAAAATTTTTAGTATACAGTGGTGCTAAACAAAACTAATGACCTATTAAAGAATTTAATTCTTAAGATGCAAATGTTGGCTATTAATATGCCTATAACATTTAAACTGTTGAATTATTAACATTTCTGTTATTTGCCAAGAAATGGAAGCACCAAAAATCCTTTAAGATGCTTTTAGCCTTTACAAAAATCTTTAACAGCTTATAGAATTTGGTCTATTCAAGTAATAGTCAAGTTCTGGTATATTATTCACAAAAGTAGCAACAAAGCATTTAAAATTTACTTTCAGAAATAAGCTCCTCTTATATGGATAAGGAGCAAGACATTTCTTGAGATTCAAATACAGAAATCTATGATAAAATAAAACAGGAGTCTCATATAATTTATAGCAAGATTTCTAATTTCACAGTACACACACCAATTCAAAAAGTTACATTTACATTGATCAGTGCTTAATTTTAACTTGTATGGTCCCTAAATACCAAACTAGATATTCCAATCAAACTTAGCTACCTTTTGGCTGTCTCCTGGTTCACAAAAGACTTCCCCCTTTTTCATGAGCCAGGAAAGGGTTAAGTGCCGTCCAGTTTTGAAGTACAAGCCTTAAAACTTTCAGTGACGCAGCGCCCAAGCCTGTCTTTCTATAATCAGTGAAATGACCTTTTTCTTTAGCTGTAAAATAATAAACCCATCATTCCAGGGGAGGAGTGATGGAAAGAACTTGACCACAATTTCAGAAATAAGAAGGAAGAGAACAAAAATTTTCTAAAAACATAAATTAACAAGACATAGAGAGACACATAAGCACAGATACAAGAAACAGACCAACAACTTAGCAGCAATGAAAAGTCCTTGCTAGCTTAGGCTTTAGATCTACAAATCAATTTAAAATGCACATCTTTGTCAATCACATAAATACCTGTAGGTTTCAAGACCATATAGCTATAAAACTTGGCCCACTCCAGGAGAACAAAGCCATCTTTGGACATGTTAGTACCCATGAGGGACACACACAGACAGAAACAAAAACAATGACAATAACAATAAAAATAATCCTAAACTTTTATTTCACACACATATGTCTATATAGCTTACCTTCCTTATTTATGCCAGGCAGCCAGCTATCTAGAAGAACGAGGGTACTTACTTTTGATGTACCATCTTTTACTGCATCATCTTGGCCAGGACCCTGGAAATGAGGCCAAAAATCCAGCCCCCTTCAGCCACCCCAAAGGCCAGTTAACCTGTAACAGGGCTCTTCCCAAATCCCTTTGGGAGAGTCCTCCAGCTAGGACAACTAAACCCAGGCCTCTCCTAGATAGGATAACCTTTATTTAAACATCCAGCCCACTTATCCAAATTGGATTCTCAAATCTGCATCAGCTGGAATTCCCTTAACCAAACAGGTCCTTACCTTTGTCCCCTTTACCACAGACAACCTGCTTTCTCTTGTAATGAGAAACTAGACCCAAAGAGAGGGGAGTCTGAGATAGGAGTGGAGTGAAATTCCCCAAATCAGAGATCTGATACAGGTGGGGGGAAAAATAATGCCGGTACTGAGCCCTGCATCTGAACCCTCTGACCAGTCTGAGTCCCTTTCTCTCTTCATATCCCACTGCTGCCACCAAAATGTCACCCGGCAATCACATCACAAGACTTATGTGAAAACCAGGTTTATGGCAAGATAAATGAACATGCATGTGGAACCCAAAGGGTTCCCAGTCTTTACAGAAGTTTACATTTTTATAATAGCAGGACAAAGGGAAGAGGGGATACCAGGAGGGGGCATGACATGGGAGGGGGAACAGTGCAGCAAAGGTGGGGAAAAAGACACAACCACTCCCCATGGGGTGGAACAAGGTGACAGCAAAAACCTTCTTCTTTTCCCTTGAGAACTGCAAAGGACCCCAGCTGCACAAACATTATCCCAGCCTGTCATAGACTAGCTAGTGCCTGTCTTGCCTCCCAAGGACATGCAGAGAGTCCAGCTCAGAGTGAAACAACAAATTACGTCAGCTCAGGGGAAGCTTCATCCTTGACACATTCAGGGCCTCCTGTATGCTCTGGGTCCAGCGTTTCTGGAAAATATGGCAAATCAAAAAGACATGTTCAGGGGACCTCTTAACAGCCCTTAACAGTATATACAAGATGGATAAAAAATAAATACGAAGTAATTTATGGGAAGGAGCCTTCTAGAGAAGCTGGAGTTTGAGCTGGGCTTTGAAGGGAACTAAAAGGAAACCAAGTACTGTTTGTGAGAAGACTTTGTCCAAAGCAGAGTTGCAGAGGGAGAGTAATGTTTAATAAAGTAGGAAAGTAAGGTTGGAGCTAGGGGATGGAGGGCTTTTCATGCCAAACAGAGGAGTTTGTAGTTGAACTCAGTGTCGTCACCTGTAAAATGGACTAGTTGAACTAGAAAGACTAGAAAGTCTTTTCCAGTTGTAACATTCTTTGATTCTGTATTGATTAATCAAAATCAAAGCACATTAAGTATTAATCCAGGCTAGGCACTATAGATGGAAGCTGCTGGACAGCTAGGTGGAACAGTGGATAGAGCCCCAGGCCTGGAGTCAGGGAGACCCATCTTCCTGAGTTCAAATCAGGCCTCAGAAACTAGCTGTGTGACCCTAGGCAAGTCACTTTACCCTGTTTGCCTCAGTTTCCTCATCTGTAAAATGAGCTGGAGAAGGAAATGGCAAAGCACTCCAGTATCTTCACCAAGAAAACCCCAAATGGGGTCATAAAGAGTCAGACACGACTGAAATGACTGAATGACAACAGGCACTATAGAGTGTATAAAAAGAGTATACTCTTTTTCTCAGTCTCTATTGTATCCAACTACCATCCCATCCCAACCATCCCATCTCTCTTCTCCTCCATTGTTAAACCTCATGGAAAAAGCTGTCTATACCTGATGTCACCATTCTTCATGATTCACCCTCTCCTCCAACCCACATACTGTAATATCCCTTCAGTCTCTACCCTTTTACTGAAGAAACTGCTTTCATGAAAGTCACCAATGACCAGATTACCAAAACCAATGTCTTTTTGTCATTCCTCACCTTCCTTTACCTCTCTGTCAAATGCCATTTCTGTAGCATTTGTCACTGCTGATCAACCCTTTCTATTTTCTCTCTGTGCCATTTAGTTATGCTTCTATGACATTCTACTTAGCAATTCTGTTTTTCAAGTACTAATAATATATGATCTTGAGTTGAGGAGTTAGATGTATTTAACTAAAAGGCCATGAAGATTCTTAGCCAAGTCCTGACTTTTCTGTTGAACTCTGGACTCTTACTTCCAACTCTTACCAGATATCTCTCTATCTACTTGTCCCACTGGCATCTAAGTACAGTACAGATAAAGGTAAACTCATCTTTTACCTTATCAGCTCTACCACTCTCCCAGTCACTCAGGCTTGAAATCTCAGAGTCATTTTTAAGCTCCCCTTCCTCTCATCCTGAAATTCCACTTAATCCCTAAGTTCTGCTGACCACCGTTTCTCACAAAAGCGTTCTCTTCTTTCTTAGCTTCAGAGGTAGCACGTTTGTCTCTTCTCCTCTTAACTCTCCCTTCTCTGCTTACTTCTCTGTTTCTTCATCTTCTTCCCAAACCCTTAAGGTAAATATCCCTCAATGTTCTGACCTGAGTTCCCCTCTAGGCCCTTCTCCTTACAATCTTCTGTCCTTGAACCTCTATGTAGATTCCTCAAATCTCTGTCTCCAGCCCTGATTTCTAGACCCTCTAACTGGCTACAAAAGAGAAACTAGGCCTAGATACATAGATCTGGGAGTCAACCTGAAGGTCTCATTGGCATTTCAAACGTCCAAAGCCAAATTTATTATCTTCCTTCTAAACCTGTTCCTCTTTCTTACCCTACTCTTTTTGTCAGACTTCTTTGGCCAGTCTCCCATGCTCAAAACTGGGGTTATCTTAAACTCCCTCCCTCCTCAGATTATCCTGTATTTGTTCATTTTATACTAGCATCCCTCAGAAGAATGTAAGCTCCTTGAGGGCAGGGAATGGTTTTTATTTTTTATTTTATCTCCCCTAGCTCGAAGTAAGGATTTAGTCAATGTCTTTTGTTTCTTTTTTCTTTTTCTTTTTTTTGCTTTTAGGCAATTGGGGTTAAGTGACTTGCCCAGGGTCACACAGCTAGGAAATGTCAAGTGTTCGGTCTGAGGCTGGATTTGAACTCAGGTCCTCCTGACCTCAGGGCCAGTGCTCTATCTACTGCGCCACCTAGCTGCCCCTAATGTCTTTTGAAATCAAGGAACTCTTCTCTCTGCCTTGATTTCCATTTACAAACACCATTTCTGCTTCTGACCTTTCTCTTCTATTTGTCCTCTCCTTTTATGTCCTATTGCCACTACCCTAGTACACACACCCTCATTACCTTCTGCTTAGACTATGCAATAGCTTTCCAATAGATCTTCCTTTCTGCCCTCTATCCCACTCAACTCAGCCCTCCTTTATACCATTTTAAGACTAATTTTCTATCCATCCAGACAGCTGAGTGGCACAATGGGTAGAGCATTGGACCCTAAGTTAGGAAGACCTGAGTTCAAATCCATGCCTTAGGACCTAAGTAAGTACCTAAGACTTAAGTTCTTGACTTTTTTTTTTGGCTAGGCAATGGGGTTAAGTGACTTGCCCAGGGTCACACAGCTTGTAAGTGTTATGTGTCTGAGGCCAGATTTGAACTCAGGTCCTCCTGACTTTAGGGCCGGTGCTCTATCCGTTGCGCCACCTAGCTGCCCCAGACTGAAGTTCTTAATAGCAGTGTGATACTGGGCAACCCTCCTTAACCTTCTGTACTTCACTTTTTTCATCAACAAATTTGCACCTATCTTCCAGGGTTGTTGTAAGGATAAAATGAAAATGAAATTAATATTTGCAAAACACTGTGCAAATGCTAGTTTTAAGCTGTTATGTAAGGATTTGGTCATGTCAATCCCCTGCTCAAAAATTTTCAGTGGCTCCCTATTGCCTACTGAGTAAAGTCCAAGGTGCGTTGTGCAGTATTTAAAGTTTCCAACAAGTAGGCTTCAACTTTTGAGTCTCATTCCATATTATTCCCCTCCAGTCATTCTATGTTCCACTCAAATCCTGTTACTCTGTTCTTGAAAGCAATAAGCACTCCCTGTACTTTCACGTGTCCCTGCCTTTGCTTAAACTGTTTAAACATGTCGAAATTCCAACTATCTTATAGCCCAACTGAAATGGCTTCTCTCCAATTGTGCTTTCTCTGTTTTATTTATCTGATATCTTCCCTGATTCCTCTGTCTGCAGGTCCTCTGTCTCCACTTAGTTCTCAAAGGTCTCCTTGTTTTGTATGTCTCCAACATACTCATCACATTATCAGTATATACTATAGTTATTTGTATTTGTGTCCTATACCCCCATTAGTTGTGACCAAACTTTATCAGAACTTTGTATCTCCCCCAAGTGCCTAGAATAGGGCTTGACCCACAGGAGATGCTTAATACAGGACTCTATCTTGCATTCTCTTCTCTTCTCTCTCTACACCCTCTCTCACTAGTTCCCATGAGTTTAACCTCTATGAAGTTGATTCCTAGATCTCTAGATCTAGCCCAATCTTTTCTGAATTCCAGTCCCATATCACCAGCTACTTATTGGATATCTCCAACTGGATGTCCAATAGGCATCTCTGATTCAACACGTCCAAAACAGAAAGCCTTCCCCCAAACCCACCCCTCTTAGCAACTTCTTTATTTTTGTTGAGGCCATCTAATCACCTTCATTTGCAACCTCACTCAGCCTCAACTCTTCCCTCTCCTTTATCCCTCATATCCAAATAGTTGCCGAATCTTGTCAATTATTCCTCTATAATTTGCATCAATTCCCTCTTCTCCACTCACACGGCTGCCACCCTAGTTAAGGACCTCATCCTCTCTCACTTGTACTATTATAATAGTACTCTAAATTGGTCACCCAGCCTCTTATCTTTCCTCTCTCCAATTTGTCCTCCACATAGGTACCAAGTTACTTATACAGTTGCCAAATATGAGAGGTAGTGTGGTACAATGAGGCAGCCAGGCCTTGAAGTACATAGTGTTGTACTTGGAGTCCCAAAGACCTGAGTTCAAATCATTACCTATGTGACCCTGGGTAAGTGGCTTATCCTCTCAGCCTCTGTTTCCTCATCTGTAAAACAGGGGTAAGAATAGCACCTACCACACGAGATTGCTGTGAGGATCAAATGAGATGACATGTGTAAAGTGTTTTGCCAGCTTTTAAAGTCTGCAATATAAATTGCAATATGAAGTTTACTATGTAGATGCTAATTGTTATTATTAGTAGATAGAGAACTGGAGTCAGAAAGACCTGGATTCAAGTCCTTTCTCAGACACATGATAGCCGTATGACCTTGGGCAAATCACTTAACCTCTCAATGCCCAAGGCAACTGAGACTATGAGTTGCAAAGAAGGTGCCAACCTATATTGGTAGAGGGAATTTCCTTAACTGGGAGTTCTTCATCCCAGTGAAGTCACAGGTCTAGTCCCTATCCCTGTCCTTAAAATGCAATTCTAATCATATCATTCCCTGGGTCTGTAAGTGAGTTCCAACAAATTCCTCCATTTGGCCCTCCAAAGCTATCAAAATCTAGTTTCAGCCTACCTTCTCAGGCTGATTGCACAGCCCTTTGCTACATATGTTCCTTATTCTGTCCAAACCGACCTGCTGGCTGTTCCTGGTCCTTGACATTCTATTTGTCACTTCTGTGCCTTTGCATAGGTTGTCTCCCATGCATGGAATGCCTTCCCTTCTTCCCTCCCTCCACTTCATAAAATCTCTAGGTTTCTCCACCAGTCTAGCTCAGATGTTACCTCCTCTAGGAAACCTGCCCTGATCATCCCAATGCTCTCCCCTGGAAATTGTTTTGCATATATTTTGTATTTCATTTTCTAGGTACATCCTCTCCCTCCCCTAATACAATGTAAGCTCTTTGAGGGTAGGGACATAGCCTCAACTCCTAGCATGGTTCCTGACACACAGGAAGTGTTTAACAAATGCCTAGTGAATGGCTTAATGGTTTGACTAGACAAGGCCTCC